ATGCCTTCTTCTCGTTCCCTTGCCTATTGAAATTACATTCCTTCCTCAAGCCTTGTTCAAAACCCACCTCTTCCATTAACTTGTCTCTGACTGTCCTCTTTTCTTGGGTGCCTTCCTGTTTTAACGACACACTCCAGTAGAGTCCCTGTTCCTTTCTGTTCTTTACTCCCTACATTGCAATATTTTTGTCTTTTCTTATCTAAAATGTCATTAAAAAGAACGACACTGTCAATATGAATGCACTGAGGGTGTTTCAGAGGAAAAGGTACAATGAAAATCTCAGGGGTTAACAAAAAGACTGTAATTATGTAGTGCTGATGACAAATCACCAATTGGCATCTCTGTGTTGGTTTCATTAATGACACCTAAAATGCCATCTCTCTTCATTTTCCTTTATGTCAGCATCATAAATGGATGAGGCCTGAGGGACTTTATGCTTTGAAGAACTATCAAATTATGCCTTACCTTATTCCGGGTTCCTGCTACCTATAACATCTACTTGGCACCTAACAAAGGACTTTTACATGATTACTCTGTGTCCATGTTGTTCTCATTTTCTCTCCGATGCCCGAAATATTGAACACAAGGTAAATTCGCAGAAAGCCTACAGCCTATGTTTCAGAGTTCACCCCATGCCCCAGGGACGGCATTCTCCGACGCCCAGTTTGTTCCTCTGAGGAACAAGATACCAGCAGTCAGAGCAAGGAATCCCAGTCCAGAGCAACATGTCTCTCCCCGGGTCTCACCTCCCTTGTGTCTAAGTCATCACTTTTTGTTTTTGCTTCACTTGACCAGGACTTGGGTGGGGAAGCGCGGTTGGAAGGAGGGGATGTGCAGGCCTAAAGGGTGGAAACCGCTCTCCAAAAGCACAACCCTGAGAACACACAGAAAGCAAACAAGCTCTGGCTGGTCCTACAGTCACCATTTACAGCTTCCTTTCTACAGCTGCAAAAATATTACATCAGGTTGTCAGTTTTTGACTTTGTTCCACTTCGGTAAATAAAAATAAAGCTACCGATAAATGCCATTACCAAATGTGAGCTCTCATCACGTGGTCCATGTTTGTGAGAAAAGGCCTGAAGACTCCTCTACCTGTTAGCTTTCACAGAGGCTCCTTTGGATGAAAACTGTCATTTCATATGTTTCATACATGGTTATACTTGTTTGCCACAGAGAACTGTATGTATGCCTGGATTTTAAACAGTGTCAGAAACAAGGGTCTTGTTTACCTTATGGCAAGAATACCCTCCAAATTCTGCTCAGTAGCCAGAGGCAGCAACATACCTGAAAAGCCCAGCAGCTGAGAGAAGGACCTAGATGGACTCAGTATGACACAAAGACACTGATAAACACAGCCAAATGATCCCGAGGAGTACACAATATAAATGCTTTATTGCTAGCACAGAGGTTTCTTTTTAAGTAAATTAAAAGAAATAAATCTTCATTTTCACATTCTATATTGCAGTTCAAAGGTAACTAGCTGGTTAATGGATATGTTCACTGGGACACAGGCAATAGGAGAGCATGGCATTCACACGAAAGAACTCAGAAATGCGGCATCTCCCAAGGCATCTGGCCACTGTCCTTTGTCAATAACAGCAAGGAGAGGTTTCTTTAAAACATCATGAATAGTCAAGGGTTATAAATAGAAAACCGGTATGAAAGCAGAAAGCAGAAAACCATTAAATACAGAAGGCTATATATGTGTTGCCCATATTTCATATATTCTAGGTTACGTTTGGTACTTTTAAATAAATGATCTTCCTCTAGGTTAGAGAATGAATTGGATTTGGCAGCTGGAAAGAGGGAAAAAGGAAAGGAAGCTGACACTGCCCGTGTCAGAGATCGAGCCTTCAGTGGAAAGCAGAAGAGGAACGCGTGGCTGGAGGAAAGGGAGCCAGCCTGCTTCATGCTTCCCCCATGGGAGGCCAAGAGCAAGAGCGGTGTGTGGACGAGCCACGGGCGTGACAAGTGGAGATCTGGTGCAGCGTGGCAATCGTGGCACACTGGAGAAGGAAACCTCTGAGCCTGGCCAAATTTTCCAAGGTTACTGCCAGTTGATCTAGGGCATGGGAAGCTGAAGTAACACCCACAGCACTGGGACTGGGAGGTGGTGAGCACCAGGGACGGGGATGGGGACGGGGTGGGGGTGGGAGGCGGAAGAAGCTATAGATTCCAACTGCAGAGCTAATTCATTTAGTATGAATTGTCAGCAGCATTGGAAATGGAATTATTTCTACAAGGCACCCAGCACTACCTTTTTCCAAATTCTCAAGCCTGCTCAGATCAGTTTTTGGTTGATTTTAAAGACAAGCTTTGGAAAAGATCAATCCATGAAAAACAACCCACCCCCTGACTTATTCCAGAATACTCAAGAAGGAATTAAATGCACAGATGTGCACGCGCACGCGCGCACACACACACGTCCCTCTCTCTTACCCCCTCAAACCATTCAGTGATGAGCTCCAAGGCTGTGAACTACACATAATGATCTCTGGAGCTCCATCTCCTGATCTTTCACTCCTGTTATATATGGATGTAAGAAAGCCAGATTGGGTCAGGAATATCCCAAGTTCTTTCTCCTTAGTACATCTGCAGTGTACCAGCTCCTGGCATTTTCAGTCTGGTCTGGCTCTAACTAAAACCATTTCATGTTTTGCTTTGAAGAAATGGATGACATGAAACGGTAATTTGGCTGCAAAACCTTGGAAAATTGTTCCCGGCCCAAACATCTGCCCCAGATGAGCTCAGCTGAGATCTCCTTGGAGGAGCGGGAGGGGTGCGTGAGCAGGGAGAGCCTGGAAGGGGGAAATGAAGACAATGGAAAGCCTACCGTTGCTCACAAGCAAAGTCCTTTGTGACAGAAGGCATCAAATAGTACAGCTCCCTCATTCAGCCCCTCACCCCACAAAGAAAAACTGGGTGTGCCCCACAGCTACTCCTCGTGCCTTTATCCCACTTTCCCCAATATTTGGTACTGTTAAGGTGATCCCTCACAGGGCGCCAAGAAACCACGCCCAACTGGTTTGCTTTCTTTGCGCAGAGAATGGCCTGGCCTACCTGCTGTCATTTAAATAGTTAAGTAAGGACCGAGTATCAAGTTTGGATTCCTGAGAGCTGGGCCCCACAGGGAAAGCAGAGGGGGAGAGTCGTGCAGGCTGGCCTTCACCTTCCTTCTTGGCCATCTTAAGAGTTCTTCTGGGGGATCTTTACTGTCACAGTCTTAACTTCGGAGTACTCTCGCAAACCAAATTCTCCCCTGAAAAACAGAAACGGGCTGTATCAGGTACCAGAGGCCCAGGCAGCCCAACATGGGCTTTCCTCTTCAAAAACCCTGTTTCAACCACTGGTCGCCCAGGATGTGCCTGTGCTCTAATGGCTCTCCTAGAGACCCAGTCCACTTTACCTGAAAGAAAACCACGTGGGTCCTCTCGGCTTGATGTTCTACATTCCTTCTCACTGGTCCTTTGGTTTAATAAGCGGCAACAATACCCAAAGGCCCACCACAGAAGAGTACAGATCACACGCAATGCCTTAAAGACAGAACCCTGAACAAATACCGTCTGCGGCCTCCACAGAGTCAGGGGAAAGAGGAAATCAAAACAACGGACGGGAAAGGAATTGCGAAGTGTGAGTCAGCTGTCTCCCGAGACTTGCTCTCTGCCTCTTCCCCTCCTGGCTCGTGGCACCCTCTGGGGCCTTGCTCAGGGATTTCTGTCATCAGGCAAACGAACGTTTATTGCACTGTTACTATGGGGCAGCACCGTGCTGGGCCGGGTGCAGGAGAAACCAGATAATCGGCCCCGGCCTCTGAAGGGCCTGTAGGTGGCCGGGCCTGAGAGCGGGGAGCGGGAGCCAGGTCACCTGCCTCAGCGGCCCGAGGAGAAACAGCCCCTCCGACCACTGCTTGAAGGGCGCTGGCGCGTGGAAAAGCCTCACTGCTACGGTGTTCCTTTCCTTCACTTCTCTTCTCTCGTTCCTTCTTATTCCTACCTCTCTTTAATTGTCGTTCTTCCTTTTCTCGATTTCATTGTCACATCAAGCATGTTCTCTTAATTTTTTTCTGCAAAATGCTTGACATTTTCTTCTTCTTTTCTTTTCAAAGTCACTCCTCTGTGAAGCTTCTCCTCAAGTTCTCAGCAGAAGGAGTGCCCCTCCTCCTCTGTGTTCAGAGCACCTTGTACCCACCTCTGCCACAGCCCTGTCATACCAGGAGGGAGGGTGGGGGTGCTCGAGCGTCTCTGTCTCTCCCACCGATTTGCATCTTCCTGATCTTGCTTTCTGTCCTCCCCCAAACCTAGCGTGCGGCCCACAGCATCAGGCTGAAAGAAGGCACTTGATAACTGTGGGAGGGAGGAAGGGGGGCAGGCTTCTTCCTACCCCCTCTTCCCCAGTTCCACCCTGCTGACCGACCATCTCTGCCAGAAAAAAACATGATAGAACGCTTAGAGATATATTTGAATAAGAAAGGATTAAGACAGGCCGTTTTTAAAAACAGTCTTATATAAAAGGTACAAAGTTACTGCAACTGGGCTTTACAGCGAAGACCCGCTGTAAAGGATTCATTCTGCTTCCCTGGCCCGACACAGAGCTGCCCCTGCTGTGCCAGCAGCTCCTCTGAGCACCAGGGCACCTGAGTGGTCGTGCCCCCCTCCTCCCCCACAGCCCCCAGAACATCAGCGACTCAGGCAGCATGCTGCTCTCTCATCTGCACTGGCCATTCTGCTTGCAGGAATGGGAAGAATAAACTTGGGATTGCCCCACTCAGTATGTGGCTCCCTCACCAGCTCTGTCCAGGCTGTCTCTTTATTACCAGCTCAGCTCTGGCTCTCTCTGGACTTTCTCCTGCCCTTGGGCAACTGTGCATGTGTCTCTTCATCACGGACATCACCTGCCTCCTGTCTGAAGTGTGGCTACTCCCTTCTTGTTCCCTCGTTTGTGCACACACTTGGGGCAGACCCTGAACCACTTTCCTCCCACTCAGATCTCTAACTAGGTTGTGAGAGATGTAAGAAAGTCTACAGAGCTAGAAACCTTGCTTTCGAGTGTGACTGCCGGATCCCAAATCTCTGGGTGCTCAAAGCAACGGAAAATTCTGCTGGACTGGAGGTGCTCCTCTCTCGGGTCCTAGGCGGCCATCTGCTGCATGGCCGGCACACAGCCTGCTCCGAGATGTTGGAGTGGGCTCACATCTGCCATGAAAGGAAAGACTGCCCATGGGCCCAGGCCTCAAGGAAAGCCAATGAGAGGTCTCAGGGCAGCATGTGGAGCAGAACACTGAGGGTGGGGGTCGGCAGACAGGAGTGCCAACTCGGCTCTGCATTAGCTGGCTGTATGACTCCAACTGACTCTCTCCCTCCTCTTGGCACCCGGTCATCTCTCTGACATCAGTTCCTGAACTTTAATATACACATATCACCCATGAAGCTTGCTTAAACTGTAGGTTCCTGACCATCTCCCACCAAAGATTCTGTTCCAGTAGGTCTGGGGAGGAGCCCAAGAGACCATGAGATGGGTGGCTATTGGACCCACTCTTTGAGCAACACTGCTGTAAGGTCTCTGAATCCAATCCCTAACATTTGGATTCTTCAGCTATTTCGCCATCTCATTCTAGGGTCCTTCTCTCAAATCTACTTAAATTTTTCTCAATCCAGTTAAGTTCTGTGGCACATAGTTCCATAGTTAAGGAAGAAGTCCACTACCGCACAAAAGGCAGACGTATTGTTATTGACATGCCCCAATCTCTTTGTATAGTCACCTTTCCAGCTGGGCCATGTGTCAGGGCACAGCACATTTAGAAGCCTGTATTCCTGATTCTTGGGCAGACTAGGTTATATTCCCAAAGATGAATCAAACTCGGCATATGTAAAGGTAAGGTAAGATGTTAGATTTTGGTGTCTCTCAGCCAGCCATTTTAGGAAGTCACTCAGACTCACGCATAAAACAAATAGGGATTTCTGCTTAGGGTGTATATTTCCCTGCCCTTTTCTTTGACTTACAGCCGCACTTCTCAGAGCAGCATCCCCAGACCACCTGCACGAGAATCACTCCAGAAGCTTGTTAAAAATCCAGGTCCTGGGCCCTAGCCCAGATCTACTAAATCAGAATCTCTGAGAGTGGATCGCCAGATAGGCAGGGTTAGAAAGTCCCCCTCCCAACCTGCAGGTGACTTTCTGTGCATACGCATGCCGTGCACACACACACTGACTCAGAGCATCCGAAAAACACTTCTCGTCTTCAAAGCGTGTGTCCTTAGTTTTTAAAATGCTGAGGTTCACAGCTTTCTTTCCATCCCCTAGGTTTCTGATACATATTTTATAGCTTGGGCTCTATGACCCCTTGTCTCAGGAGAGCTTAAATGAGACGGAAAAGGATGGGAAGGCTGAAATAGATGGAATTAGCTGGACAAGCAGAACAGAGAGAAACTCAGCCCAAGTCTCTCACCCTGGGAATGAGAGGCCAGCCCATCAGATAACCTGTAGAGGGCAGCCCTCTCCACAGCTCTCTGCGGGGTAGCACTCAGGGGCTCCAACAGCCTTCCTTGGAGCTCGTTTCCGCAAAGTGCTACTTCCCTTCTCTGTTCCTCTTAGAGGTGGGCAAGGAGATGTCAGGGACCAAAGCTGCATGGAGCCTGCAGGCCGTGAGATAAACAATTCTGTCCAGGTGGAAGGCTAAGCAGAGCTTCCAGGACTCTATAAAACGAGAAGAAGAGTGGGGAACCAGGACAGGGCAGGTTCTTTTATCTGAAGCATTTCCTACCACTCCAGGTCATTTAAGGAAGAGAAAACATGTCTGGGGGGGGGGGGCAAACAGGAACAAAGACTCATATAATTTAGATGAGATGAAGTGAGTCTCATCAAAGAGCACTGTTTCCTAATTATTTTTGAACTGCACTGGGAAGGCCAAATCACTACTGTGCCCATGAGACGAGTCGAGAAAGGCCACTGTTCTGTGTGGTTCTGACACAGCCAAACTGTCTCTTGGACCTTCTTTCTAGGCGAGGGCGATGTTTCTGACAGGAAGAGACTGGGCCTGAACAATGTCCCAAGCCCGAATCCTGGTAGGAGGCTTGCCTGTGATGAGAGTCCAGGGCTAGCCTGAGATGAGAAACCATCAACCAGCAATTAGTTATTTCAAGTGTATTTTATGCCCATGATACACCCTGTTAATGATCTGTAACAGTCAATGTGAGCAGCATTCCCAGAGCCGGCGATGGCCCCAACATTTCAGAGACTGGGAGAGCACAAACACAGGGGCAGGAAATGAAAGAAGCTGAATGCATCTTCAAAAGTGAAAGCAGATAAGGCCATGTGCAAGTTAAGAAGAGATACTTGGAGTACATGAAGACTTTATAAAAGCTGAAGGAATACTAATAACTTAGCAAATAGGATCCAGACTGGGTATGGGTTCTGCCTATAAAGCAAGTGGGAGGTACTGAAGGCCAGAAGCAAAGGTTCAAGCAAGAGCAGTTTCTCCCTTTCTTAACACATTTATTAAGAAAAAGGACTGCCTACATAACAGTCATCTACTTGATCAATAATGATGATAGTAGCTCACATTTTCTGAAGGTTTGCCAGATACCTTGATGGATGTTTGGCATACATGATTCTAACAGTTAATCCTAACAGCAACTCTGTAGGGTAAGTACTATCAATAATTATTCCCATTTTATAGATGAGGAAACTGAGGCTCAGTGAGATTAAATAGTTTGTCCAAGGCTGCACAGGTATTAAGCAGTAGAGCCAGGGTACATATCTGTGCAGTGTGATTCTAGAAACTCTGCTCTTAGCCTCAAAGCTATATCTACTTCATGGTTTAATGGCTCGGGACTAGAGATTACCAGCTACAGTATCTGAAGATGTAAATCCCCTGTGCTAGTCATGGGTTCACTGCACTTCCCCCCAAACACCATACTTATTTCTCCCACAATGCCTTTGCTAACACTTCTCCCACTGCTATCCTGTTTTGTCCACCAACCATGAAAAACTATTCCTCTCTCCTCATCTACTCAAATGTTCCTCTCCTTTAAAGGCCAATTCAAATCCCTATAAAAGATCACATCTAAAGGTTTCTTGGGCTTCTTCAGCTCACAACGATCTCCATCACCCCTGCATTCCTCTACCACTCCACAGGCTTTTCTGGAATTCTTTTGATTCTTTCCATGTTGTATATTTCATTTATCCAACAAAATTTTAAGTGATTTAATGAGCTGCACCTTCCCCTACAGACCAGGTATCATGCTTTGCACAAAGTATGTATGTGCTCAATACTTTTTAGCAGATTGATTGCAAACTAAGCATTTGTTCAAAAAAGTATGCATTCAGTAATGCTAGAGGGAACAGGCATGGGAGATGTTTCCTCTTACGAGTCACAGGATTTAGAAAACATGGATCTAGCTCCTTTCGAAATGAGGGAAAATGAAAGGTTTTTGGGATGAGGGGAGATGTCAACTCAGGAAGACCCTAGCTATCATTCATTCTCCGAAAGCAATTCTAAAAATCCATTCATATATGAAGTTGCAAATGCAATTCCTCTCGTTTTCCTCTGCCACAGTCCCATTTTTCAGGTCCTCAGCATCACAAGAGGGCATCCCAGCTCTGATTCTGACCCGGAAGAGTCCTTATACCTGGTTCCCATGCTTCCTTGGCCAGACATCACGGAAACTAAGCCACTAAAATTTAGGTTCAAAGCTCAGATCTGCCACTTACTGGCTGTGAGACTTGAGCAAGCTACTTAACCACTACTCCAACCCTTAGTTCCTCATCTGAACCATCTGTAAGATAAAGATAAATGTATCTATCCCATAGAATCACTGTGAAAAGCAAATGAGACAATGTTAGGTAAGAAGGCAGAATAAAGCCCTATGCAGAGCAGGCATTTAATTAATACCTATTATTGTTATTGCAAAATCCTTGTAATGGGTCATCTTCCTGTAATCTCTGCCAAAACATCCTCTTTACACCAAGAATGTTGGCCATAAGAACTTTGGTATCCCCTCAGCTCCCACAGTATGCCCTTTAAAAACCCTTTGAGATTGGGTTTAAAGCAACCTCTCCACTTGTATCTTCAGCAAGTCTCCTCCATGCATCCTGTGCCCTAGGCTCTGCAGCCCCAGACTCAAAGATCCTATAGGCACTGAGCAGGTGACAGTGAGTGAATTGGGTATGTGTAAAACTAACACAAGCAATATTCAGTTCCCAGAAGCAGGCATGATGGGGAATAGGGAAAACTGCAGAGCTCACAGCTGCAGCAATTTTGCTTTGGGGGAATGAAAATAAGCAAGAAATCCAGATTTTTATGGAAAGTCTCCTCATTTTGAATGTCAGGTAAAGGTTTTTAAATGTTATAAGGAAAAAAAAAACAAAACATTTCTCTAAGCCAGATTTGTCCCTGGGTGGTGACCTCTGTTTTAAACACGCCAAACTCTGTTTTGTGTCTGGACTATTCTGTATTTGCTATGCCTTCATGCCTTTGTTCTTGCTATTCCCTCTACCTGGAATGCCTGCTCCTAAGAAACTGAAATGTTATTTCCTCTGTGAAGTCTTCTGTGACCTCATCAGGCAAAATTAATTGATTTTTCCTCTGTACTTAACAAGATATTTGACATACTTGCATAATAGCACCTATTACATGGAATTATTGGTACATGAATTTTTCTCCATTCCCACTCAAGGTAAGGGTATTATTGTGTTTTATTCATCTTTGTAACGTGTGCTTTGCTTATACATTTATGTTTTCAACCAAGTGTTTGTTTAGTGAACGGATGAGAGTAAGAGAATTCACTGATGCTGTGAGTGCCCCTCTATGCTGCTATTCACAACCCTGTTTCTCTTCAGGCACCAGCAACTTTGGACACTTACATCTCTCTCCCATTTCCAGACATCTTGAATCCCCCAAAGGGACTCTGGGCATTTAAGGCATTGTAACAATTGATCCTGAAAGAAGAAAACATGGTACTGTTAGTATGTATTTTGCTTACACAGAAACAATCCCACTGGCATGATATTTCTTTTATAAGTTCTATTTTTAAATTCCTTTTTCCCCACATGAAAATTTTATAATTTAAGCTTTACTTTGATTTCCTGATCTAGCCAATAGGAAGTATCCCTTCTCAGGGTGAAGTCTTCGGTCTCCCCCATCCTTCCAGAGCATATGCTTTTATTTCACGCAGGCTCTGGAGAACTACAAGCCCCCTCCCACCCTCATGGCATGTGTTATGGCCAGAAGGAGACTGACTCTGGTCTTACCAAACAGTCCCAGCTTGCATTGCAGAAGACACCGTGAGGGCCTTGTTGATGTCATTAGTAAAGACAGCTGCTACAAGTCCAAAGTCTGAGTTATTGGCTCTTTCAATAACTTCATCCATAGTCTTAAACCTCAAAATTTCCTGAACGGGGCCAAAGATCTGCAATAAAATAGGTTGACCCAACACGGTTGCTTCGCCATCCTTTCACCTGTTTTCTATGTTTCAAGGCAAGTTTATTCTGCCTTCATCATTTAAATGATGTTTAAGTTTAGCAGAACATAACTGTAAAAATATCCCGAACTTTCCCAGAATGAGATTACATAAGTCTACCCTTAGAGTTTAACTCCTCCGCTCCCCTACCCTGCCTGGCAACACTTGATTCCACAGTGTGCTCTAAAGCTGTGTTCTCCATGATCCCCCAGGCACTGCTCCAGAACTGAGAACTACCGCTCTGGTGAGTTGGCTGATCTGCAGCTGGTCCTCTCCTGCAGAAGCGTCAGGATGCTTGGGTGCTTTCTATTTCCTGATTAACAGCCTAATGACCCGTATTTGGGGGAACTGAACTGTTGACAGTGTATCACTGAGACCAGTTGATTGGCTTTTATGATGGTTCTGCTGGCTAAAAACAGTTGAGATCATAAAGCACATCACCTGGCCTCCATCTAGCTTGCTTGCCTCTTTGTCTAACTTCTTTCTTGAAACTGGGGATTTTCATAGCCATGTTTATTGCTATTGTACAATGTATATAAAATACAAACAACTAAACCTCTAATATTGTCTACTAGAAATGCCCTGGAAACCATCCCAAGGAAGATGTGGCTGCCGTTAAAATCTATGTGATACCTCCTCCTTGGCAATCCGCATGTCATCAGTGACGTTGGAAAACACCGTGGGCTCGATGAAAAACCCCTTTCGGCCCAGCCCTTTGCCTCCACACTCCAGCTTGGCGCCTTCGGCCACACCACTCTGGATGAGTTCCAGGATCCTGTTGTACTGTTTCTTATCAATCTACAGAAGAAAGTGCCTGATGACTCCAAGTAAAATCTTCTATGAAAATGGAAATAAGCATGTGCTCAAGAATCTCTCTCATTTGTGATTTTTGGCCAAAGCTTCATTACACCTAGTCAAATCATATGGAACTGCTGTTAATTAACCATTTTTGACCTATGAGAAAGGGTAATTTTGTATGGTTCAACCTAATACATCAAGAATTCCAGTGAATGCACTGCTCTGATGATACTGACAAATCGTAAGTACCAGTTCAAGATTTAAGCAATATTTCTAAATGATGGAGATACTGGCTAATTGATTATTCACTGTTTACATAAGTAAAAATTAACCTTATAAACAAATGAATATTGGAGTATATTTTTATGCAACTACTGTTACACCACCAGAGGAAAGGATTAAGTTTTAAGAGTGAGAGCTAGCGTCCTAGTCCACAAAATAAGGTCATTCTCGCCCCCTGCAAGCCCCCAAGTTATAGACTTATCACTCAATTATTATGGTAAATAAAAAAGAAACCTATATTCACCTGAGTTTGAATTGCTGTTACAACTTCAATCTTCTCTCAAATGGCCCCAAAACTAAGGAGATGTTGCTTCTTATCAGGACAACCCATGCTCTAGTGATCCAGATGAGATCTGGTCTACATATTCCTTTAAAAATTCTCAGTTCAAAACCAGAGTTCCAACTGGAAATATACCTTGATGACCATGGAGAACCTGCAGAGCTCAGGAGTGCAGCCGGCAGTGACCTTTGTGGCCCTCCTCATCCACCACAGTGCATGAAGCATTCAGAGTAAGAGAGAACCATATGGCAGAAGAGGGAGCAGACAGCCCTCCATTCCCTACA